TTTTATTATGACATTATACAATACAGCATATTTTTGTACAAGATTCATCCAGCATAAATCTGATATAGCATGGTTTTAAGATTATATAACTTAATGTAGTATAGATTAATGTAGTAAAATACAATATGGCCATATATAGTTATACAAGACCAGATTAAATTAATCTGATATAATACATTATAATTTAACATAGGATGATGATATGGTCAATTTCATCAAATAAAAAGAAAAATACAGTACACTAAACTGAAACAGAAGACAACGTACCGCAATGTCATATCACATTTTATCAGGTTATAACGTATCACACCATATCTTTTCTGTCGTATCAGATTATATTGTATAATATCACATCATGCCGTATCTATGAAAGACAACCTGGTCGATATATAGACAGATAGGTACATAGGTAGGTAGGTAGGTAGGTAGGTAGGTAGGTAGGTAGGTAGATGGGTAGGTAGGTAGGTAGGTAGGTAGGTAGGTAGGTAGGTAGGTAGGTACATATGGCAAAAGATTTGTAGATAGATGGACAGATAGATAGAGAGATAGCTACATAGATTTAGCTGTGTCTTGCGTCGCGGCTGACAGGTGACTGAGTCCGTGAGAGAGGGAGGGAGAGAGAGAGAGAGAGAGAGAGAGTGTTTCCGATATCGTATACTTCAGGGCCTTAGTCCATTTGATGAGCTACGTTCGTTCTTCACTCCCCTCGCCCCGACAAGCGTTCGGGTGGGCTAGACGCCCGGGGGCTTTGACAGGCCCTCATGCCCAGGAGAGAGAGAGAGAGAGAGAGAGAGAGGGAGTAGCGATTTTGGCTCAAGTACTGCAACCTTGGCTTTGGGGGCTTATAACGCTCCCTGGCTTTGGGGGGGAGGTGTAGGGTTGACCTCAGGCTGTTCACCTGGGGGGAGCCTTTACACCTTTCCTGCAGTGCTTGAGTCTTGCTCACCGCCGCTCCTTTAATCAAGAGGCCCAGGGGGTTGCGCATCCTCCCGATCCTGAACGCAGCCCCCTCCGGGGGAGGCCTGCTAGTAGGGGGACGGAGCATACTTTGTCGTCGCGGAACTGCGGGAAAACTTGCTGTCCTACGCCACGCTCTTCTTCATCGATGGCAAGCTCCCAAGAGGTCCCCGGCGACGGGGGACAAAAACAGACAGAACGGCCTGCTAGACAAGGCAAAGGCATTTGCCGTCTGTGCCGAGAAGCTGAGGGGATCTGCACTCTTGGGTACCGTAAGACTCATGAACGCAGCGATCCACAGTGCAGACTCCATGGCACAGTTGGGGGAGGACAAGGGCCTCTCCGAAGGAAAGGTCAGGACAAGGCTCCGGGGGGAACGCTGAGCCGAGAACAAGGTGAGCCAGCACCACCGGGAACAACTCAGAGAGCCCTCCACTCAGGGGGAAAGGGCCCGTCCCGCAGAAGCAAACAAGCCCGTCGTTTGGATGGCCCAACAATGCGAGCCAAGCTGAGGGAGATCCTCAAGGTACATGTCACGTGGAGAAGAAGGCCCCTGCGCTGGTCCCCGATGCGGGGGAGACACTATGACGAAGCACTGCAAAGACACCATACAGACGCAGAAGAAGACCAGCTTCGGGGGGAACACGCAGACCGAGTACGCAACAAGGAGCTGTACCGAAAGGCGGTCGTGGTCCTTCGCTTCCTGCGCAACCGCGGGGGAAGCCCAAGCAAGTTCCTCGACAAAGTCTCCAGTGGTGCAAGATGGATCGACAAGGTCCACGACGCCAGGGAAAAGTGGGGGAACAATCCTCCGAGAGCCGGGGGATCCGAAGACTATTCCGAAGAGATCCACGAGCTTTCGACTCCCGAATGGCTCGACACTGAGGAGGGGGAAGCACCACCGACTACTCCGTGCCTGTCGTCGTCATCGGGGGAAGACAAGACTAGTGGAGACATTCTGCTGGGGGAGCCAGTCCCGACTGGCACCGACGCTTCGCTGGGGGAGCAAATCCCAGTCGCGCCAGAGTGGCCCTGGGCCGATGACAGGCCTCCGCTGCCACGAAAAAGACCCAGACAGCAGGTGACGGAGAACACACATGAGCGAGGGGGACTTACATCCCACCCGCGCGTCTACAGTGGA